ATAGATAGATAGATAGATAGATAGATAGATAGATAGATAGATAGATAGATAGATAGATAGATAGAGAGCTGCAAGACTATTCTCAATGTTCCTGACTTAATGAGGTTGGCCAAATCACTGGAAAAAACAGCCAGACTCTGAAATTGCAACACTAAAGCTCTATTTRGCAAGAGTCAATGAAGTGCAGCCAGAAAGCTTTGTGAACCAAAATGCACGGGCGTACAGGGGCAGAGCAAGCAGCTCATAAACACACCTGCGAGTCAGATGCGTACCATGATTACATTCAGACTGTTACTGTCCACAATGCAAACAAAACATGAGTGCGATACAGCACGAGCGAAAGTAATGAATTGTGTAAAAAAACTTAAAATTGTCACACACAGATCTGTGGCAGCAGAAACAGGGAAAATCTGTTTTAGAAAAATTGATCCTAAAATTTGATGCCTTAAAACCATGACATGTAAAAATAAATACGAGATGATCAATAAATCAATCTTTGTAAATGCTGCAGATTAACTTGCTTCATGTGTGTTCTCACCTGGCAGCCTGGACAGCACTCAGCTGGATGCCCTGGTTATCACTGGTGGCATTCTACAAATCAATGCAAGTGTCATGTGTTTAACAACATTTTAAAACATTTAACAATATCTAATCTTTGTGGATTTTCAAGTTAAAGCTTGAAAACACACACGTTTTATTATTAGTTTTTTTATTATATTCATTTTTAGCTATTTATGAACATTTTAAAACACAAAGTTTACATTAGAAGTAAAATGAAGAATAAAGTTTAAACAAAGTCAGACATTTTGAGTTCAGACGTCTAAGTTATTAAGAGGGAAAACTCTAACTTACCTGTACTATTGCTTCAAGAGAGGTGTTTTGCTGTAAAAGAAGATTTTATCTATTACTTTTGGAGTAAAGTCATCAGTGACAAAAACTGAAAAATAACAGAATCACATAATGCATCTTAAGGGGGAATGATAATGAAAACATTATAGAGATATTAGAGTTTAAACATGACATCAGGACAGAAAAAAGTAGCTTTTATTGCATCTGAATTCATTAAGAGCTGCGACACAACAGTCAGATTACAGAACACAAAACTGAGCCGACGATTTATCAAGCTGAACATTACAAGCTGCGAGCCAAATGCAGACCACCTCTACAGGAGACCCTGATGATCACATTCCATCACTATTTGGACTATAATCACTAGGTTGGCTCATATCTGTGAAAAAACATCAGCTGACTCAGACTGAATGTGCTCCAACCAGACATTCAACAACAGCACTGCATGCAAACATGCATAAACTTTAAGCAAATGTTGTTTAAAGGCACTTGTGTACTGCCATTCCCCGCATGAGACACCTTTATTAACTTTAGTGGGAAACAGAAGAGCTGGGCCAAATGAGGATTTAACAAATATAATACTTTAGAAAAGGACACAGAAGAACTTAAAATATTCCTTTTGTAAACATAATCCATGAACAAAAAGAAAATTATACGAATGTCCCACAGGAAACATAATTTGTGTTATTATTGTGGCCTGACTGAAAACACTCGCACAGCTGAGTGGAAGCTTTGCTGCTGTCAGGCTATCAAACACTAAAATCTGTGATGAAGGTGGGATCAATATTTTCTGTGATGTTGTCAGTCTAAGGCTACGTTTACATTCATCCAGTTGCTTCAGGTTTTTTTTCCACACTTTCACGTGCCGTGGATGATGGAGAATTTATGACGCTAACAGCACTGTTCACACTGGAGTCTGATGAAGTTGCATTTAAATCTGATCTGAGCAAATCAGAAATCTGAATTGAACATTAAGATCTAGGGGTCGGCCGATATTTGCGTTTTTTCCTTGTATCGGTATCGGCCGATACACTGTCCGTTCGGCCGATCCGTTCTTTGGGTCACGCGAGCGCATGTGTCCCCCCCTTCCCCCGGGGAGAGTGCAGAAGCTAATGTTGTGAGACAGAGTGCTAACAACAACAAGGGTGAGTTATGAACTATAAATGTGTTTTAACTGTCTAATTTAGCTGTTTCTACCCTCTGTGTCGGAATATGAGGGAAGAGAGAGAACAGCTGTGTTTAAGTTTCTTTTCCACACGGGAGGCGCTGCGACATGTTTTACTTTCACTTTCGCACCGCACAGTAATCAGCGTGTCCGCGTTGTTTTTCTTTTTAAAAATGCTGGAGCTGCTCACATGAGGCATAGAAAAACACCTTTATTGTTCTCCCTGTTGGATTAAAATAAAAAAGCTTTCGGTCTTTTCTCGTTGAACATTTTAGCGAGCACAGCCGTCCACCATCATGTGAACCAGACACTGTTCACATCACGTTTACTGTGACCGCAGTGGTGATGCTGGTTCTCTTCGGTGTACATTTCAAACTGTGATCTAAAGTTAACGTCAGCTGGTTTAATGCATTTTTTGCCTGGTGTTAAAAACGGAAGCAGCAGACTGAGGCAGAGATGCTGTGAGCGCTGTGTATGTGAAGTCCTGACAAAGATAGCAAGATGTTTGTGTGTCTCTTCTTTTTCTCTGTGTTGCTCTGACAGTTTTATTTAGGCTTGTTGCTGTTTTTGCATCAAAAATGCTGGGATATTAAAAAATAGTAATTTTATGTAAAATACATATTATTCTTATTAATATACAAATAAGAACAGAATATTTAGAACTAGATAAAATAAATAATGAATTTATTTTTTAATTTTTTTAAAGAAGAAATCCTGTGTGGTAGCCCTTAATAC